TAAATATTTTTTTCCTTTGTAGAGGACAGGCTGTTCCTGAAAGTACTGCAATATCTGGGCAACCCGTGGCCAGGACGGAGCAAGCTCCTATTCCATGGCCTAATTCTAAAAATCAGTTTAATACTCGAAGCTACTCAATGAGCAGCGTTTCAGATATTAAGCTGTAAAGAACGGATATTACACATGATCTTAGCCAAAAGACCGAGAAGCGATGCTGAAATAACAGTACCAATGCTATTAATATAAAACAACAGAACGCTAGAATATTGGTGTTGGAAATGCTTTTTCTTTACTTCATATCGTAATAGAAATGTACTTAAATTACGTGTTGAAATATATGTAATAAAATATTTCGAAATCCTAACTCAAGAGTTTTGTAAGTTACTGCATGCACATATTTTCGTAGGATATTTTATTAATTTATCTATCCTAGGTAGCCTCTGTATCGGCTTCATCTCATATATTCATGTTTATGTAAAATAGTTTAAAATCTGCACTCTTGGGAAAAAAAATACTTTCACTATATATGTGATTTTATGTTACAAGAAAACGTACTGAGTTCGGCACGATAACAGGTCAGGTAAGATAACAAAAATCGCCCCTATGATATTATCCGATGCAAACTGTCATCCTAATAATAATTCTATCGTTTGTAAATATTTTTTCCTTTGTAAAGGATGGGCTATTCCTGAAAGTACTGGAATATCAGGGCAACCCGTGGCCAGGACGGAGCAAGATCCTATTCCATGGCCTAATTCTAAAAATCAGTTTAATATTCGAAACTACTCAATGAGCAGCGTTTCAAACATTAAGCTGAAAAGAACAGATATTACACATGATCTTAGCCAAAAGGCCAAAAAGCGATGCTGAAATAAAAATACCAATGCTATTAATATAAAACAACAGTACGCTAGAATATTGGTGTTGGAAATGCTCTTCACTTCATATCGTAATAGAAATGTACTTAAATTACGTGTTGAAATATATGTAATAAAATATTTCGAAATCATAACTCAAGAGTTTTGTAAGTTATTTTATGCACATATTTTCGTAGGATATTTTATTAATTTATCTATCCTAGGTAGCCTCTGTATCGGCTTCATCTCATATATTCATGTTTATGTAAAATAGTTTAAAATCTGCGCTCTTGGGAAAAATACTTTCACTATATATGTGATTTTATGTTACAAGACAACTTACGGTACTGAGTTCTTCGGTACGATAACAGGTCAGGTAAGATAACAAAAATCGCCCCTATGATATTACCTGACGCAAACTGTCATCCTAATAATAATTCTATTGTTTGTAAATATTTTTTCCTTTGTAAAGGATGGGCTATTCCTGAAAGTACTGGAATATCAGGGCA